TCTTAAAAACGAATTGGTTCACTCAATTAGAAAGTTCTTCGTTTATTCACGGAGTGTTTACGGTGTGGCTGCTGCTGCTCCGGGCGTGAGGTAGCGCAGAGGACCACACACGCCCACGCAGTATCTTCTAGCGAGAGCACACGAGCAAAACGGACAGACAGCATGCCAGACGGTGACAAACGCTACGGAGGAAAATGAAGATGGAGAGAGGTGGGGGGTGCTGCGGGGAGGGGGCACGATTTTAGAGTGGTCAGGGAAGGCTTTCTGGAGGAGGTGATGTTTTAGGACGCGGCGTGCTGAGCGCGCGAGCCGTGCGGAACTCCTAGACGAAGTGCTCTGTGTGGGGAGGGAGCAAGGGCCAAGGCCCTCCGAGGGACCATGCCTAAAACAGGCTGTGCGGCACCCATCCTACGTCCCTCCAGGGCCTGCAGCTGCCGCTCGCCATCTCCAACTGAACGCGCCCGCAGCGGGACCACTGGTGAACAGGACCCGAAAGGCCGCTTCCTGCTCCTTTCCAGTTCAGTGAACGGTGCTGCACCCAGACGGCTGCCCACCCATGGTCGGGGAGGCACCTGCTAGTTCTTTCCCTCTTCCGTCCAACATCCGATGCCTCAGCGAGTCCTGTCACGTCTGTCTCCAGCGTTCCCGAGATGTAACCACATCTCTCCATCTCCTAGCGACTGCCCCAGTCCACACCCTCGTAGCCACTGCCTGGTGACCCGCGTGTTCTAACAAGTCTCCCTGGAGCTTCCGATAACAGCTAGAATGAAATCCAGACTCCCGACCCTGGCCCGTGAGGCCCCGACGGCCTGGGTAAGCCCCTTTCTGTCCCTGAACACCCTCGCAGGTGGCTCTGTCTGCACAGGACACTCTTCTGAGCCCTCCTGTGACACTGCTCAAGTCTCGGGTCAAGTCGCTCCGATCGGCTGCAGAAACAGCCCTTCTCATTTCCGGTGATGGTACCTTATTTCCTCCAAGCTTTCGCCACCTTCTAAAAATAACCTACTAATTCACTTGTCTCTCCTCCCTCGATAGAATCTGAACTCCATGAGAGCAGAGTTCTCGTGTGCATTATTCATGGCCATATGCCCAGCTTCTAGAACAGAGAAGTCCAAGTAGCAGGCACTCCAGAAAGGAGATTCTGAATTCATTAACACCTTGTTCTTCTTCAGCGCAAAACTGAAAGGAAGAAAAACTGATCGCTGCACAATTTTAAAGAACAGATTAAACTATTTGATTGAATGGATACATCTGTACCAAGGAAATACAAGTATTATGTTTCAAATTCCTTGAATCCTGCACTTAATCCAATTTGTGTATATTCTATATATTAAAGTGTTCTGCATTTAATGAAAAAAGATAATGCCACTTAACAAAAGGGTAGCCAATTTTCAACTTTAAGAAACAAACAAATGAACAAAAGTATACTATTAAGTCTTTGGGATGAAAGGCAGCCCTAAATAACTCACGTAACAAGACCAAGCCCAGAAAGCAGTAACATCTAGAACTTTCCTCTATGCACCCTCTTTTACAATATAAGTATCTATTTAAAGGCATTTGATTTTTAAAATTCTTTTGTAAAAGAGAATATAAACATTCAATTATTCCCTAGGACCCAGTTGAATATAAAATTCAAATTTCCAATGTTGTATGTCGATTATACCTCAATAAAAATATTTTTTAATTTCTATACATGGCTCATCTGATTTACTTTTAGGTGCAGATCAAGCACTAACAAGAAAAAATTTTAATCTGTCACACTGTTATTGAGTACACCTAACTGTAAAACAAGAGGGAGTATAATGGCTGTTACCTCAAACTAAGCATTTCAGCTCTATCATCGTTAATTCTGTATTAAAATCTGCATTTTCGCCACACATCTTAACAATGAATGGTATGGCTTCTCGTACACTGTAGCAGCTATTCGTTTCTTTATTGACTATTACTCTTCTGTAATTTACTTTTTCATTATTAAATTAATATTTAAATTAATCTAAGCGCAACGGAAAATCTGGAAAACAGGAAATAAACCGACCCACCACCCTATCTAAACAACCATTATCGTTTCGACACATTTCCTTCTAGTCTGCTTTTCTAGAGGACGGTGACAGTGTACAACACGTTGCCTACTCTTTTCTGCCATCAGAATCTTCAGAGCCATCACCTCTGGCTGTGTAGCATTCCGTGGAGCTCTACTAGCTGATTTCTGGGAAAGGACTTCTTTGTCTTATAAAGAAAATAAATGACATCATTACTTTGAATACAGTCACGTGCCACATAATGACGTTTCGGTCAAGCCACGTAGATGAGGGTGGTCCTGTGAGACACGAGGGGGCTGAGAGAGTCCCATCGCCTAGGAACGCTGCAGCCATCATCGTCACGGTGTAATGCACTACTGAGGTGCGGTGACGCTGGTGACCATGAACCTGTGCTGCCAGTCGTACGCAAGCCACGCGTGTACGATCACACCCAGGACGTGACACTAGATGACGACCACAAGGGACTGCGGTTACCGGTTCACGCTTCTACTGTGCTCCTAATCGTTAGCGCTTCCTTTCTACTTATGAAGTCTGCTGCAGCGCCACGTCACGCCAGCAGCCTCACGCCTCGTGCTCACCGCGTCTCTCGACGGCTTCACTTTGTTACGCCTGACGTAGCCGCGTGCGGTTTCATACACTGAGTGCAGCCTAAGTGTCCCGCGTTGGAGAGTCTGCAGCAGGGGACAGTCACGGCCCGGCCTTCGCGTCCACTCGGCCTCACACGCGGGGCGCCCAGAGCAACGCCCGGTGCCGCCAGCTCCATCGTGGGAGTGCCCACGGTGGGGGGACCATCTTTCATCCTTTGAACCGCGTTTTCGCTGTTCTGCTTCTGTGTTTGGATGTTTGGGTACATAACACTCGCCACGGGGTCAGAACCGCCGACGTAGTGCGGTGAAGCGCTGTCCGGGCTGGTGGCCCAGGAGCACCGGGCTGTGAGTGACCGTGATGTTCGCACGGCCACAAAGTCCCCTTCCGGTGCGCCTCTCAGAACACACCCTGTCGCTGAGCAGCGCGTGCCTGTGCTTCCTTCCTTACCTTGCTCGCTACAGGTTCCTGGTTTAATTTCAAACCACGCTGCCCACCGCACTGTGGATATGCTGGAATGGCCTCACTTTAGAGTAGATATTTTTAATATATTTTAATATTTCATGTTAGGAGCTCGAGAACGTCACCACGGCTGTAAAAACGTCTGTTCCTAGGCATTCTGCATGAGCTGGGAGCCATTTAAACTCCTTTCTGGAACAGGATTCTTCCTGTGCGCCGTATCATTCATTCGAGCGTGTGCCTTTTTTTTTTTTTTAACTGAATGAATGGTGAATTTCTGAAATCATGCTGACTTCCTGTCAGTCACTTTCCTCGACTTGGTTCAAAGGAAGTGGGCGGGGTGGAGGACGGCGGGCAGGAAGCGAGTCACATATTCAAATACACAGAAAAATGCATATTTTGTATATATTAATATTCATGAACTCATTCGGTGCCATCTGCTTTTTTGGACTCATTAACAGTCTTGTTTTTTTGACAATACCCAACGAAGAATACGTGGACTTTTAAACAGATATTGTGAGCTATTTATTCAAAGTTTACTGATACGTTAAAAATTTACTGATATACTACCTCAAGTTATTAAGAACAGGGGAGAAATAGTGTTTCTTAACTGACTGTATCCTATTCTGCATATTTACATTTAATGTAAATGTCTATGTTTATGGTTAGTGCAATTTCAAAACAATTCAAAGTAAAGCTACTAATAATTTTGTTAAAAGCAATGAACCTTATCATACAAAACATGCAATCATAAAACAAATAACTTTAATTTGGGGGTTTTTACCAAGGATTAAGGGAGGTCTGCGAGCCCCCTGAGAATTATAGAATGCATATACACTTTTTATCCTACAGAGACCTGCAAAGAGATCTGTCACTAACCCAGCTCATTAGGTCAATCACCAAACTAAAAAATTACTTTCATGTATTCTATCACTTGACTATTTCTATTAAAGACTATAAACTGGACACCAGAAATTTGCTTAAGATCAAAGTAATATTCAATGTAATAAACTAAAATACAGTACGACATAGAGGTTCACGTTGACATTTCCATCAAATAACAAAATACCACCGCCAGACCCCGTCTCAGCCGTGCCGGGACACAGGCCGGACAGTGCGTGGTGGGCCGACTTAGTAACCGGCTGAAGAGCAGTGACGACGACAGAACCGGGCGAGCCCAGCGACAGACAAGCCGCACAGTGCCCTCCTGTGCTCCCGCCACGTGCCTGAGCCTTACTCACACCGTGCCACTCACGAGGGCCTTTTGAGGTGGATATAATCGTCATCTTCGTTTTGTAGATGAGAAACTGAGGACTCTGGATGTGGTGACATGTCAGCTGCATTGTGAGGTGTTTGTTAGCAGAATGAAAGAACAGCAGGAAGGGAGTGAGCTTTTAACTTAGGTGGTGGCCATCTAAGCCATGTCCCCACCTGATACCGAAGTCCTTTTAATTATCACCCTGACAAACGATCGAAGGGCCACAGACGTTCTGGAAGTTCCTAACCAATGTGAACTTGGTTTGCTGTACAGAATCTATAGAAAACAGAGATTATATATGTCCAAATTTGTAGTAGATGTTACTCCTTTGGTATTAAGATGTAAATAAGAGTGTTTTTCAGTACTCAAGTTTTAAGAGGTCAAATTAACTCCTTCGATTATTTTGGTTCCAAAATCTGGATATAAGAAGACTTTCTCACAAATAGGGACTCCTTGGGTTCAAACTATAATTTAAACAAACGTGTCATAAATCGCTCCTTACTGCGTTAAGGAACTGACTACATGCCATGTATAACACTAGAACAGGCATCTTTTAAATCTATAATAGTTCTGAAGACACTAGTTATTTTCTGATATGGCGAATTAATATGGCTAGGTCAGAGAGACGGGAAGGATTTGAAAGACGAAAACAATCTTACCGAAGTCTGCAAATGCTGACTGTCCAACCACCATCATATTCTGAGGTTTTTCAAATATTGTACTGACAGAGAAATTTCCATCCTGTTAAAGGCAGAAAATTTTGGATTAGACCATCGTAATTCATCCAAGTGTGAAATCAAGCATTTTACCTAAAGCCGAGAAATAAAGGCTCTTGTTGTACCGCACAGCGATGACGCCCACCTCCTGTGCCGCCTCGCTCACGAAACAAACGGAGGCCGTGAGCTGATGAAGGGCACCTGGACGCCCTCCCGGCTGTCAGCTCCGGTCTGGCGTCCTCGACTACACCGTCACCATAGTTCCAGACGCACCGAGTGTCTTCTGCTTCAAGTACCATACTGGGTTTAGAATACGCAGAGCTGTGAAAACACAGCTCCTCCCTCCAGGGAACTCGCGGTCCAGTCGGGGGAGAAGATGCAAATCAGGACAAAGGGGTTTCCGTGAGGGTTAGGAGATAACCTGCACCAGGTGCTCGCCTCCAGGCCACGTTAGCCACCAGCAGGAGGGACGCCGGGGGCGACGCCACCGCTCCTGCCAGCGCACGAGCACCAGCGGCGCCGTGGCCGACCCACGGCCACTGACGGACAGGGCGCCGTCTGCCGCGCTCTGCCCGCGCTGTGCCAAGCATCTTCCCGTGATGGCGGCCTCGGCCTCGGCCTGTGCGTTTTAATATTTAATGTTACACTGGCCACACTTACACGGGAGAAAGACGATCAGGAAGCTACGTCCGATGTGTCCCCATCTTCACTCACGTAAAGCAATGGTTCGCAACTGGGGGTGAGTTTGTTCTCCAGGGGACACTGGGCAATGTCTGGAGACGTCTGAACGTCCCAGCGGGGGACAGCTACGAGCAGTGAGTGTGCAGAGACCAGGGATACCGCCTGACAGCCTGCGACGTGCAGGACACACCCCGCCACGCAGGACGACCTGGCCGAGCGGCTGGGACAGGGAGGGTGGCAGGTGTCGTCCAAGGGTCCGGCTTTGCCTTCAGTCCCTTAGCGCTCTCTCCCCTCATGACTCTATCTCTTCCCTTTCTTGAGTTCTAGACCTACATTTCTAACCACTTTCTGGATACGTCTCTTATCTAAAATACTTTTATTTTCCTGCCCTGAATGAGCTCCTTCCTTTCGTCTTTCCTGTGACTGGTCACCAGCATAAAACGCCAGTCACCTCTGCTTTAACGGCCCCCCTCCAGGCTCTCCGGATGAACCTCCCTGAGAGGCAGCAGCCCGGTAACTGCGGGAATGGAGGCTCAGTCATCTCACTCAGCCCTGAAACCTTTACAAGCGTCTCAATGAAGTTTTAAAGGATCAGATTACCCAGTTCAGAAGCCACGGCTTTGCTGACCACGTCTGAACCGATTCTTCTATCCTTGCCTTCCAGTGCCTTTTCGGGTTCCGGCCCAGACCAGCCGCTTCGCACACGGGGGGTGGTCCTGTGCCTCCTGTGCCTCTCCTCGCCCACCTCCCCTCCGCTCTCTCTCCTACCCACTCCGGCCCTGCGCACCTGCTGCCTGAGGCGCCAATCCTTTCGGAAGCCCTCCCTGAAGGCCCTGCGCGGGCCGGATGGAGCATCCGCTCCGTCTTTCAGCTCCCTGCAGCACGGGGCCCGAGCCTCTCGTCGTACCAGCCAGGGTCGCCCACACCCGCATCTTCACCCCGCTCCTGGCCGCCAGCTCTGTTCCCTTCTCTCTCCCACGGCGCCTACCACGTGGCTGTGTGCACAGCCGACCCTGTGAAAGGATTTGCTGCAGCTCCCGTTCTTCCTCTCGCGAATATGGCTTTATAGGTTTTGAGGTTTTGGGTCGATTTACATGTTACTGCTAATTGTATGTCCAATCTCTGATGAAGATGACCCTCCACGTTACAAAGCCCACACTTCATCCGAGCCAGTCAGTTTCGCGTCTACACTCGCCTCGATCTGTACTAATGGGTACCGTACTGACCCGGCTGTTTCACAGCAGGAACGACCCTTACGGTCTCTATGGTCTAATAGCCCGTTTATTAATTTTCTTTAAAGGAAACGATAATGGGAAAAAAGACCCCACTCAAAATGCAGTCTGTTCGTGCAGAGCCCTCTCCTACTGAGCTGTTTCACTTTGTCGCCTTCAGATCAACCTGGGCTGAGAATACATCATACACTCAAGTGTTTCAGAATTTTATATACACATTATACTTATGTGTACTGAGGCTCCCCCCCTGTCCCCTATGGATCAAGTTAATCAATCAAAATGACTGATTTTCTCATTTTCTAATACCTCAAGATTCACTTGAGGTATTATTTTCAAGGCCACCTGAAAACAGTGTGAGATTTAATTTATAGTAATCATCAAGAATATAACAACCATATTTTTATCATCAGAGAAATGAATATGATCACATTTTTAATGAAAGTAGTATATTAAACAATTCATCTTTCTGGTTTAGCATTTTACCTAAATGCTTCCTCTTCTACACCCCATTAAAAAAAAAGGGATCCTGTTGCTTGGTTTAGAAGTTAGCAGTATTCAGAAGCCCTGATGTCATCTAGACAAAGCTTCTTGTCCTCATGTCCGTCCCCAAACAAGGCTGGTCATGACCACCAGCACTGCCGACGCTACGAGGCGGCCGACGGCACATCTTCCGCGAGCTTGTGCTTCACATTTTTTTCACATCTGCTTATTGCTCATCAGTATTTTAATAAAAAATCCATAAAATATTATGGGTTTAATTTGGATTGAATAAAAGACAAATGAGAGTAAATAGATGGAAACCAAGAGATCTAAAACTAAAATTTGCTAGTTGTCTACAGTGTGCCAGGCACTCTACACAGACTATTTCACTTAATCTTTACAAGTGAGGTTCGACACCTGACCGTCGCTTGATGACTGTCACTCGGTGGGCCATTCAGGCCTCTCCTCCAATCCTGTCCTCTATGTGCAGCCTGAAATTCAGATTTTGGATGACTTATTCTTCATGAATTAATCTTTCACATAATCTACATCAAGCTAAAAATTAAATAAAATTGTGACATCAGTTTGGGAATCTTCTACTTGCAATTAAAAAAAAAAAAACATTGGGAAATACTCCTTAATCCTTTCAACTTGGCAGTAAGTTTAGTGTCTGTTTTCTTATTTTTTATATAAGCCTGAAGGCAAGGAGGAAAAACTAATCTTTTAAAAAAAGGGTTTTCTTCAGTAAACCATCACGCTGACAAATTAAATGACAGTACCCTCTCTCAACAGCTGGCAGCCTGGCGGGGGCCCTGTTAACACGCACATTAGGGCAGACTGATTGGTTTAATTGGCAGGCAAGCCTACAAACCTGCAGAGGAGCCGATGCTGGATGAATCATTTCCTTCGGCAGTACTGAGCAGTTTGAATGCAGCAATGCAACCAAAGGCTCTTAAAGTTGTTCTATTTATTGTTAAAACCAACCGACCAAGTGATTACTTCCATTTTATTTTCTAAAATTGTATGCTTTTACTGAATGCCATCATTTAAAAATGCTTCAAAGAAAAGATTCCTTACCAAATTTTCCCATATCTCAAACTGGGAGGCACCAGAGGCAGACAATGTCGTGAGGAATAAATCTAGAAGGAAAATAACAGAATTGTTTTGTTACGGACATGGATGTTTAGAAACGGGAAGAAACGCAAACACAAGGAGTTATTAATACTCTGGCACTTACACATGTTTTGAACTGCACCTTATCAAGCTCGAGTCCGTCAGAGAAAAGAAAGCAGATGACCCTGCACCGCTAAAGTTAAGCAAAATGTTGACAGGGAGCCTGTGGGATCAGTCCCTCATTCGATCACCTGCAATGCAATGCCACGCGGGGCCTCTCTACCTGCCACAGACAGAAGAGGTCACCCGCGGAATGAGGACCTTTCCCCTCCTCTTCCCCCAGCGCGGTCCAGGCCCCCAAACAACCCTTTCTTTTCCTCTGCTAATAGCTCCACGGCCCCACGCGTCTTCCTAGCAAATCTTTCCGTTTCTTACAACTCCTCGGCGCTTCCTTCTGGTTGCTATGCGGGACGTGCCCGATTCATGAATCACTCAATAATCGATTAGATCTTTGAGTGACCTCTCAGTTGAATTTTGTTTTTTTAATATAAGGTCGCCTATATTTTAAAAAAAGACATTCTGATCATGATCACAGTTTGCTTCCTCACCCTGAAGGCAGCATGTACCTATGCATCGTAGCCAGGTTTGAGTATTATTCTAAATCACGGTATTACAGTATCTCAAACCTTCAGCACTCATGTTAAATGAACGTGAATTATATTTCAAATTTTGAGAATTACATATTCTAACTAAAGTCTGTTTCGTTGAAAAAGTGCCAAATCTTTAGCATTCATGTTAAATGAACATGTTATATTTCAAATTTTGAGTAGAATTATATATTCTAACTAAAGAAAGTTTGTTTTGTTGAAAACGTGCAAAAATTCTAATGAAATTAAAAAAAAAATCAGTTGACAGTTAAATCGAATACCCTATTTATGCAAAGGCCAGGTGAACTGCAAATCTCTTCTAGTAGCTGCATTCATTATGTCTGCACGATGGCAATTTTACTCAGTGAATACGGAAAGTTTTCAAATGATGAGCTGACTCACAGGAATATTAAAACAACATTATTCTTTTGTGTTTTAAAAAATGGAAATTATTCAGAGTAATGGGGAGACCATGACTATTTTAAAGAAAAGTTTTTTCCCCCTATTAAATATGTTTAGAAAATTGTCATTCATATTTTAATGTGTTTTCTGTAAAGATTTCATATGAATTTAATGAAGCTCATTTATGGAATAATTATAATAATAAAGATTTCCCTAGAATCCCTGGAAAGCTAAATAATTTGTTCACTTTTATTATTAGTTGAACTCAAAACTCCTGACCCCGAGTAAGTTCCAACTATCTGCATTTATTTTCACCACACTGAGGGTGCTTTGCCTATGGAGGCAGAAATGTAGTCTTTTGTGAAGATGATTTCTTTGCTCAGCCAGAGTCACACTCCCGACAAAGTGTGCACTTCCACACTCACCTGGGAACCCTCCTAACATGGGACCTGTGTGGCGATGCACCGCAGCCAGCGTCCTCCCGTGTCCCCAACGCTGCCTTCGCATGCTGGAGAGCCCAAGTGCAACTCCAGTCCTACCCCTTGTCCTCCTGGACACGGGTAAGCCTCATTTGTCGCGTGAAGGTGCCCTCCCTCTGCCCCTGGATTTCCGGGCTCACCCCCTGCTGGTCCCTCACGAGACACTTCCTCTCTGTAGTGCCTTTTACCTCACAGCCACCTGGTGGACTAATTCTTCGAAACTGGCTCCAATGTCCCCGTCCCTCCGGAGGCCCCTCCTCTCTGGAGGCACAGACCCCTAGTTGTTACTGGGCTACGCTATCGCCGTCATCATGGTCATTATAATGCGCCTGGCATCTGGTCTCATATGGGTCCCTCCTGAGCTTTTGGGGGGGACGAGTCATGTCTGCTAATTTTCACACCTCTATGGCTCCCAAGAGCTTGGGACCAGTATGTGTTCAAGTGACTGCTGAATAACGAAACATCACGCTATCCACATACTGGGGTTCTTGGAAATTTACTGGGACTGCCTAAAAAGTTATTCCGCTGCACCTTCAAATGGGAAGCCTCGGGAAAAGAAGGGTCTTATGATAAAGCATTTCATTAAAAATAAGCACTATTATTTATTTTTTTACTTATTACAGTGATTACGGTACTAAGAATGTTTAAAAGCTGTTCCATTTTTATATTATCGGAAAATGCAAATAATCAGCATAAGAAAGTGATTAGGGATTAACAGCCACAGAAATTCCAGCATCACCGAGAGCCATGCCGAATGTAAGCTCTCGGCTATCTGAAAGAAGCAACATCCAGAGAAGGGGCAATTAGGCGATTATATAATATGACACGAGCAAATCTGTCCAAACTAAAAGCATGACACTGCTGAAGTTCTCGGCCCACGTGAGAATGAGCGAGGAGGCATCTCTGTGACACGGGATCAAAGGCTCGTCGTCGGTCAGCCTTGATGCGCCAGTCGGCCTCCCTGAATAGAATCGGAACGGCTACCCTGTTACTGCCACCGGCCAAGCAGGAGCCGTGGGCATGGGGGACGGCCACCAGCCGCCCATCTCCATTCCCGGAAAGACAATGCAAATGTTCTTTTCTATTGATTCTGTAATGGTCTCAAAATATTTGCATAACAGATGATAAATTATGAGCTTCCTGTTGTTTCATTTACATTTAAAATTTTAGGAACTATAACTGCATGTTTGCCGATTGTATTTTCATAGTTTCATAGCTATTAAGACTTTGAGAAACAGTAACGTGAGATAAGGGATAAGAAGTACCTTGTAAAATAGATTTAAAATTTTCATTTCACTATTCAATCATGTACGGAGATAACAGAAAAAAATAAATGACTTATTATGTGGAGAAATAAAACTAGAGACAATGAATTAACAATTCAATATGAAGAATCATGCCTCAGACTCTGAAATGACGATAAAATAACAGCTAGATAAAAATTTTGGTCAACAAAGCAATAATGTCCTCACCCTCCCACGGGGTTAAGAGTAATTCACACGATACAATGACAGGAAATGCACTTAACGTAACTGGAAGGGATGCTGTGACACACCACCCCGATCGCCTCTGAGAAACGAAGGACTTATTCCCTCAGCTGCTGGCAGTGCCGCTGACAGCCCTGGCTGTCAGCCCTTCTGGAACAGCTTTGGTTGAAAAGAGCTACCTTGCCAAAGGTGGTGTCCCTTTTTGCGCCAGTCTGCATTCAATGACCGGTCAGCTCAAAGAAACAAGCTCATCGCACCCCAGAGCAAGCCCGCAGGGCCGTTCTACACACAGGGGTCCCAGGTCAGGGAGGCTCGTACTGAGGACCGAGGCGGGGACTTAACGGTAAGAGTGGACAAGAGCACACGAGCCCCCTCCCCAGGAGGCTGAACGCTCACCCTAAGCAGGGCTGCTAAGCTAAGGTCAGGGCCTGAGCTGGGAAAGGATAATATGTGACCCAGAAGATAGAAACGTTTGAGTGATGAACCTCAAAACCGTGACTCCCCAGGTTCACTCGAACTTGAACCTTCAAAGCCTGTAGAAGTGGCCCACTTTTCATGGTTAAAGGCGCATTAGCTCCTGTTTGAAAAGGATGGAGAAGTTTCTGTCCTCAGCAGGCGACACGCTTCCCACTTCCCACAGTGCACCCCGCCTTGTTTCCTGGCCAGCCAGCCAGAAGGTGCGGGTAAGTTACAAGATCACCTGGCCGGGAATGGGACAGGCACGTACGGGGGCAGGGACCACAGCCTGCACCAAGTCCAGGGCCCAGGGCGAGCCAGGTGAGTACGTGTGAGGCTGTGTCCTAGAGTGTGTGATCAGGCCAGGGGAGTGGGGGCGGGGGGAGGGTGGCCAGACTGGGGAGTTGGGGGCGAGGTCCTTACATTGGGTCCCTTAAGCACAGAAGCGGCAGCAATGCATTTTACAGGAGTCGTCACATATTCTGCATGTGGGTTTCCTTTCCCGTCTTGAAAACTGATTTCTAAAATGTTGATAGAAACGAGGTGATCACAGCTAACATCACTGTATTCACTTGAAGAAATAATCTCTAACAAAAGGCCACGTCACGAGTTAGCGAAAAATTCAGAATGTAAACCCAAATGCAATCACATCGTTTTCATTAGATTCTTCTAACAAGAATAGTGAAAATATTCAATGCACATGTAATTTCTTACCCAGAAAATACAGGAACGTAGTCAAGTAAGTGTGTACAAAAACATTAAACGGTTTAGGCTTCAATTATCTCCATTCATAGCTTGAAGGATTAAGCTATTGCGTTTCAATCACTGCCAAGCAGAGTGCAGCCTTCCCTTCAACTGAAGAGCCCTCTGGTTCAAGCTGGCATCCGCAAGCCTCATGGAGTTTTAGGAGCTTAAGTTGAAAGTCTGATTGTGTGAACTCAGCCATGTCAGGCAAAATCAAAACGATGCTTAATTTTTGCACTGTATCCTTTCAGTGTGAAGTCTCAACGTTTTAAGATAAATATTCCAATGGAAATTTAAAAACATACTCATAATATCATTTAGAGTTCCTGCATTAAGAATTTTCCTTGAATGATGACAGTCATTCTATTTCTAAAAGCGTAATACTACGGTTCATTTTTTGGAAACATACACTTAATATAACATTTGTAGTATTTTCTGGAAGCTTCAGACAGTTCCACAAAATATGGTTCAAAGCAGGATCGTAACGGGTACTGTTTCTATGCTTGAGCCAACATCTGGTCTACGGGACCGTCCGGTTTTCCTTAGGCCTGGTTATATCAGTGAAAAGGCAGCACGAGAGGACAGGATAGAAATCTCTTTCACCTGCCTCCACTGCTCCTAAAGACAGCGCACGGAGGCCTCGTGACCGCTGAAATCGTTACAATAAACCGGAGAACGCCAGCAGCCCTGTCCCGGGCAGCAGCAGTTCAACTGCATTCTGTAGCTCAGAGGCCATCGACTCAAACGTGGCCAGGCACGAGGCCCTAACTTCAATTAGGTAAGAAAGGCTCGTGTGACCAAGACGGAGTTA